TGAGCCTCGGTGCCGGTCTGGACTCTGTAGGGAAGACAAATATCTTGCTTCTATCGGGGATCGAACCCCGGCAGCCCAGCCCGTAGCTCGTCGCTATACTGATCCTTCTCCAGAGTAATTCTCTACAGATCCCTCCCGCCACCCAGCCATTCTGTTCACATGGATTTTGAAAGCGATAGCGACAAACGCTTCGGGCTGGCTGACACGCCAGAGAAAGCCGCAGGAAACAGTGGAAGCCTCGAAAGCCATAATCCCAACCATCTGAAGGGGTTCTTTCTGGGGCCGCAGAACACTGAAATTCGGGTGCGACTTCATCTATGACCTGCCACTTGATCAGACCCGGAGCACGTGCGTTTACGTGTTTATTACATGAGGCAACAACTAATAGAGAATTTGGAACGGTTGAAAGCCGACACTGGACAAGTAAAATCAATGTATGATTTGAGGTTCTCACAGCGATGGTCATGAAGAGTTCCATCTTCTGGGATATAGCGCCGTCTAGTCCGTTAGACGTCAACAGACGTTTCGGAACATCTCGCCTCCATCTGCTGGGTCGAAGAATATGACTGCTTTCTACCTGCCCAATGCTGGTCTTTTTTCTTGGCTTGTTCTTCGACCGTGTAAGACTGAGGCGAATGCTCCCACGGAACGTCGGTTGACTTTCAACGGGCTACACGGAGTTATATCCCGGAAGGCAGAACTCTTTTAACTGAAATTGAAGTAACAAAGGAAGCAAACTGATCTCAAAATGATGTTCTTTAGAAAATAATTCTTGGATTCTACTGTCGAGGTCAGAAATGGACACATGATGAATGTACTGAAGTTTACAGCGGGTACATGATTCTCGAAAACTGTTTTGGGGGCGAATTTTTTGGAATACAACGAATGACATATGTAGTAAATTCTCAGGCGCCGAATAGATACATACCGACGCGACAAAGCGTCTGGGTGGAACTGTGCCAGCTGTGTGGACGTCTTTTGCCGCTGCTACTGTCACTAGCATCCCCTCCATTGCGCTGCTGCTGCTGGCTTGACATCCGACCAATACAGTTGAGACTACGATGATCCATGATCACACTCTTTGGTAGAGGGATCGGCACACTTGGCAGTAACAGTCACTCCATAGTAGTCACATCGCGGTGTCTGTACTTGCAGCACCACTATTTAACCGCAGTGGGCAGGATCACTGATTTACGTTCATTGATCGTTTTCATGCCTCACGACATTACGAACTTCATTCTCCGTCGCATATAAATTATTAAAGTACCGCGTAACACGTAGCCACTTTTTTCTAATTGCCAATTACTTTCAGCAGCACTAATTCCAAGTTATACCTGTCATCAAGTTTTACTGCAAAGCAAATGCTTGCAAGTTGAGTTCTGCAATTCCTCGCCAACTTCATATCGAGTATCGTAAAGCAACAAGTTCGTAAAGGCAGCCCTCCATCAGTTGAAGTAACTGCTGTAATTACGGAAACTCCATGGAACACAGTCCTTCAAAAGCTGACAGACACGGAACAACCTAATACAAACATTTCTTACTCCCCATGTTCACAAATCACACTGACTTGTCACACTGAACAACATTCAGTTTAAACACACCACTGTGTGACATAGGCAGACTGCGATTCCGGTCAACAAATCACGATTATGAACATCCTGTAAGACACCGCAGATGCATGAGCACCACGCCGTGGTCACGCATTTCTTTAAGATCGGAAGAGTATGAACTGCTTACATACTGGTACACGTTTCCATGATTCTCTACTTGTGGGACGAGGGACACAAAACATAGTCCCTTGTCTAGACAGCGTAGTCGTGAAGCCAACTGACGCGTTATGGGTTTGCCCCACTTGGCGGAGAAGACTTCCGCAGGACTCCGCGCTAGGATATAGGATGTACAATTTTGAACTCAAATAGAAATACCAAGACACAAAGAACTGCACAACAGATTCGATAGCTGTACAAATATATTGAAGGACTGAGTGTTGCGCCAAGTAGGATAAATGGGATGCAACTCTTACATGCTTGAAAACGAAACTAAGTTTTACATCTGAATACAATTCGTACAAATCAGGCATTCCTTTTCGGCTGTGTGACAAATCACTGACAAAACAGACGTTCTCTTGTGAGGATGGTGTATTACTCCCTCAGGATGATACAATATGCAAGTAATTTCGTAAGATATCTACTTTGATCTTTAACCCACGATGAAGGCCGCGCCATAGCTCAAGCGGTTAGTCGGGTTCCATCCCGGATCTGGTCAAGTGGGATTTGTAGTGGACAAAGTGGGGCTGGGGCAGGTTTTCTCCGAGTACTTTGGTTTCCCCTGCCAATCTTCATTCCACCAATTGCTCCACAATCACCCTCACCTAAAATCTGGAGCTGGTATAAAAGGCCAGAAGTGGCCGCAGTACAAGTCCCACCCCACTAGTAATAAAAAAAACGACGATGAAACAGGTTCTTCGGCAGACTGTGCTGGGAAGCTATGAAGAGCCCACACATTTTTCATAGAAGCACGACAGACAAGAACTCCCATCCTGTTACACTAAGAAGCTTATCATATTTCTAAGCTTGAATCATAGGAGCGTTTACGGACAGCGATACCGAGAACAGCATTCAGCTATTAACAATGCTTGTAAGCTGACTGTTCTTCAACTCAGACGCACCAACAAACATTACGGCGTATGACTTAGCATGCAAGTGATGCTACTGCTTGAAATTACATGCTGCTTCTTCGAAAAGAGATTCGACGAAACCAAAGGCTTAACAGAATTTCCAAGCAGTATTCATAGTGACATATGTTTTCTACGTGTCTTAGTCTCATGTTCCATCCCACTCTCTGTCTCTAGCTGTTTGCAAGAAACAGGGTTCGTTCGATCAGTATTTGACGTGATGCTAAATTGCTTTAATTACAGTCCGATTGCGTTCAAGTCCCGATGAGGTCAATGGATTTTTTTTCAATTTACCTAATCCTTCCAGCCGCACTATGGTCCTGGGGTTCACTCAGCCTCTTAACAGAAATGAGTTTTCTTTTCCTTGGCACTACAGCCCCAGTGGGCCTAGGCCTACCTCCATGAACTTCTCCGTTCACTTCGGTTTTTCTAGATCTTAGACATACGGTAGGACTCCTTGGGCGGGTGATCAGCTCGTCGCAAGGCCTCTACTTGTACACAAACACAGAAAAACGCACACAAACATCCATGCCCTGAGTGGGATTCGAACCGACGATCCCGGCTTCCGAACGAGCGAAGACAGTGCAGGCCTTAGACCGCTCGGCTACCGTGACCGGCAACAGAAATGAGTACCAAGAATTAATTAAATAATTTTCCTGGGAAGTAAAGCGCGGCCGGTGCATAAGGCTGACCTTACCGCCATCTTTGAGCCGGCTGTCTAGATAATGTGGGACCCTCAACGTCTCACCCTATGGGCCTTCACGGCCTGGTACAGGGATAGCTTTACTTTACTTTACTTTATTTTACTTTACTTTACATTTACTTTACTTTACTTTACTTTACTTTACAGTCCGATTGCAGATATCCAGCAAAATTCTTCAAGAAGTTGTGTAATGATGGTATTCACTAATATATGAATGGCAAATGTTTACTGATAGTATAACAATCTTTCTTTGATCATACATTAATGTAAAGTTATCCTTGTGCTTAAGTAATTAAGCACTACGCCATGAAGGCGTATGGGGAGAGGATGTATAGTTCCACATTTTCTTAACCTCGGCACTAGCTGGAGGCGAGTGGTCAGTTTCACGCCCCGGCAGCTTTACCTCTGGGGAAAGAGCCCCCGGTACCCATTGGATAGGAAGTTGTGTGGACCCCAGAGCCGGTCTGGACGACGTGGATAAGAGAAATGTTTGACCCTACCGGGACTCGAACTCCGATCCCTCAGTCGTCCAGCCCAGTCGCTATACCGACTGTGTTATCACGGCTCTTTAGATCATACGTTACCTATCGATAAGAGCATGACCATTCGTTTATTCTATCAGGACATCTTATAAGAGAGGTAAACAACGTGCAAAACAATTCAATTTCCATCCACCCGAACCACACAACACATGCATAGGAGATCGACCGTGTGTGTGTGTGTAGTTTCCAATTAATCATTAACTGGAAGCCGTCCAAAGCGTCGGACGACGTCCTCTGTCAACTGATACAAATGGAATGGCATGATGAGTACAGAAACACGCCTTCCAACGTGACAAACATGTGTTGAAATAGTTAATTGTTTATATCACATAAACAGAAATCGTAAGCTTAAAATAATCAGTTCTTTCCTTCCAGGTCAAATTTTGCTGACTATTACACGAGACCAAATGCTTCATTCCCGTGATAACAGCCGGACGTTTAATACATTGCACTCTGTGGAGCAGACGTATGCCCATTGAATTATAGATTGGCTTAATACGTCAGGGAACTTGCACTAAATATTATACACAGGTCGCGTGTGGGTGATACTGTACACTTCAGCACACCGGCTTTAAGTCGCGTACTGAAGCGACCAAACGTACTTGCGATAATGTCTACGACGACGCTTCGAAGTATACATAAAAAAAGTCGAAATACCCTATATTAACTGGGCAAGAAAGGCCTTTCACAGTTGAAAAGTTCTTTTTAATCTGTCTTCATGTTTCCAAATATATTCCCAATGGGCTGCTGATGGTTATTGTTCACATGGTAGAAGACAAAATCGAAGTTCTGAATGCTATTCTGCTGTAGGTATTTTACACGGAAACTTTGAAAGACTTGTTATTTAACACACATTGAAGTAGCTACAATGTAATGTGTGGGGTTACCTTCAGTAATGTCTCACATGACGCTTATGAAAAATGTACAAAAATCAAAATTGTCTTCAGTTACTTGGGAGGAAGGGATTTTCGTATGTGAAAAGGTTTTAATACGTCACGACGCATTCAAGGATCCACACTGCATTACTGACAGGGGAAGTTCCAAATGTTATTCTTCTGCAAGTTTCCTACAAGTAACTTTTTTTTTCGCTTAGTGGGGGGTTGGACACTTAGGGCAGTAGATCAGTTGGACCGATTATGTGAGAAATGAAGAAGTGTTAATTAGAGTCAGTGAGCAGAGGAATATCCTACACGAAATAAGAAAACGGAAGGCTAATTGGATTGGTCATGTTTTACGCAGAAACTGCCTTCTAAAAGAAGTTACTGAAGGAAAGATAGAGGGGCGGATAGAAGTGACAAGAAGACGAGGAAGAAGACGTAAGAAGATGCTGGATGACCTTGGGGACAGAAGAGGATACTGTCATTTGAAGGAGAAAGCTCTAGATCGCATTAAGTGGAGGAATTGTTTTGGAAGAGACTGTGGACCTGTCGTCTGACAGATTACTGATGATGATGAGGGGGGGGGGGAGTCCAA